CTGTGCAACGTTCGGAAATGCTTTGCCAGACGGAAAGTCATGAATAGCCTCTTCAACAGTTTACCCACATCACGAATCGTCACCATATCTCGAGACCCCAACCCTGCTCCAACTCACTTAGCGTGACCCCAGATCTCAGCGTACACTAAATTGACTCGCTACGTGGAGTCATTTGGCCAGCACCTGACTCTCCATGACTGAGCAGTCGCGGCGCAAACATGCCGCAAACAAAGTTTAAGAACGGTGAAGGCCTCGGAGTGGTCGCAGCGTTGCCTTAAGATCCAGCTCCAACTTTGTCTTGCGACTTGCCTTCCTCATTAGTTATTTACCCTTCACAATGGCAGACGGATTTATCGTCCCATCAACGGCTGCGCCAGAGACTGATGCTCAGCACCGGTTGCGTGGGCCCATCCATGCGCAACGCCATGTACGCATCGTGTGTATTGGCGCAGGTGCTTCAGGACTTCTGATGGCATACAAACTGCAAAAGCACTTCACAAATTACAGCCTTCAAGTTTACGAGAAGAATTCCGAAGTTTCGGGCACATGGTTCGAGAACAGATATCCGGGGTAGGTGAAGATCATATTGATTGCTGCGGGGCTTGATGCACCTTTCGCCCCGCGATCTACCGAAGCGACTGCAACGAAGCGGCGCAGTCGACCAACCTCGCTAACATCCGCTTCTAGATGCGCATGCGATGTTCCCTCCCACAACTACACGTGGTCATTCGAGCCCAAATTAGACTGGTCCGCTGTATACGCCAGCTCCAAAGAGATCTTCGCCTATTTCAACGATTTCGCCCGCAAGTACGGTCTACGCAAATACATCAAGACGCAACACCAAGTCGCTGGCGCAATTTGGAACAAGCAAAGGGGCGGATATGATGTGCAGGTCAAAGACCTGGAGAGTGGCCAGACCGTCAACGATCATTGCGACATCTTGATCAATGCAGGCGGCATCTTGAACAACTGGCAATGGCCTGCCATTCCAGGTTTGGACAAATACAAGGGCACATTACTACACACTGCGAATTGGGACGACAACGTCGATCTTAAAGGTCGCCATGTGGGCTTGATTGGGAATGGGTAAGTGTATTATGATTGACCTTTGATTCCGCGACTGACCACTTCAGTTCCTCTGGCATCCAAGTTCTCCCTACCATCCAACCGCACGTCAAGAAAGTTACAACCTTCATCCGCGAACCAACATGGGTCTCACCAGTCCAAGGCCTCGAACAACACGTCTTTACCGATAGCGAAAAGCTCGAATTCGCAACCAAGCCCGGCGCATTGGTTGAATACCGAAAGAACATTGAACGCGGCCTCAACGGCCAATTCGGCATCTTTCTCAAGAACACAAACGTCAACTCCGAGACAGAAGCCTACTTCCGCCAGCAGATGACCGAAAAGCTTAACAACGAATACCTACAAGAGCGCTTGATCCCGAACTGGCATGTTGGGTGCCGAAGACTGACACCAGGTGTTGGCTATCTCGAAGCACTGGGAAAACCCAATGTACAAACTGTCTACGGCGAGATCAACTCCATCACCGAACGCGGCTGCCTATGCGACGACGGCAACGAATACCCCATCGACGTGCTCATCTGCGCCACCGGGTTCAACACATCCTTCAAGCCGCGTTTCCCTGTGATAAACTCCTCCGGTGCCAACTTACAAGATGCCTGGGCTAAAGAACCACGCTCCTACTTTGGCCTCGCCGCCGCCGATTTCCCGAACTACCTCATCTTCCTTGGGCCCAATTGCCCCATTGGTAACGGTCCAGTGCTCAGTGCTATCGAAGCGCAGGCAGACTACATGTGCAAGCTCATCGATCGCTTCCAAACACACAACATCTCGACATTTGCTCCGAGAGCTGAGGCCATCGATGACTTCGTCGCCTTCAAGGACGAATACATGAAGCGTACGGTATGGAACGACGGATGTCGCTCATGGTACAAATCGCTCGGCGCTGACGGCCCTGTGACGGCGCTCTGGCCTGGCTCTACTCTACACTACATCGAGGCGCTCATGGAGCTGAGGCTAGAGGACTGGGATGTCAAATACACTGGCAACAGGTTCTCATGGCTAGGCAATGGATACTCGCAAACGGAGATTGATCCTACGGCCGACTGGGCTTTCTATGTTAGGGATAGAGATGACGATGAGCCAATATCGAGGTTGAGGAAGTTGCAGCTGATCAACAAAAGTGGGACGGTTGAGCCGAGTGAAGGGGTGAACTTTGCAGGCGGAAGGGCCAAGACGGATGCGGTGGTAGAGTCGAAGCTTTAGCGATTCTGTTGTTTCTGTATTTGTGGTGCACAGGAAGGCGTTTTCTATCAAGGTCAGGGGATTTCCAAGGTTGTATGCGTTATGGTACATCATCAGGCGATCAATTCATCTTCAAAGTTGCAAAACATCAAGCGTGCCTACTCAATGTTCTCCACCGTTCCATCACGTACCAGAGCCAATGTCGGAGAAGTCTAGCCTGCCTCGGCCGAGCTCCGGAGAGGCCGCGCTGCATCCAATGTATACGGCCCTTGGATGCCATGCGAACACATGCGCACTCCGCGCAAGCAATGAAACGCGATAAACGCGAAAATAGCAAACATGTAACTGCCTTTCGCACGAACGATGAGTGAACCGGTTCAAAATAGACGAGGCGACAGCGACACCCACGCGAGCTGACTTAAGATTTGCGCTAGAGCAGCACGGCTCCCCAACCCGCGGCGCCCGTCGATTCTGCGAACCCACCAGCGAAACACTCCGACACTGCTCGCGACCAGTACCCAATAACTGCACGGGGAAACAGCGACCGAGCCTTTGGAGATCCGGAGAGTGGGAGTTCGTGTTCTTATCTGCGTGTAAGCATTATACATTGATCGACAGCGTCAATGAGCGTTGCAGGCGCCTTGCGCAATAGCGTTTCCCAGCTGAGGAACGACCTCGTTTGCGAAAGCGAGCAGCGCGGACACAGACGTCACAGGTAGACAAGCAGTGTGCAAACAGTTCTGTTTGGCACTACGCGACTCGAAAGATGTTTCTAAACTGTCAGATCAGCTATTTCCAGCTCTCGCTCTACCATCCGTCCCTTCAAACGTACCAGACACAGGGTATTCACGTCACAGCTCCACGATTCAACCCTGTGGACATCTCTCGGCTAACGAGGATCGTCCTACCTTGCCATCCCCAACCCAGCGCACCAACGCACAGACATTGCCTATCCCGGCGCTCGGAAACGGAGACGACGCGTTTCGGTAGCTTCTATTTCGATATTGGGCGGACGGATAATCGACGGCGTCGTACAAGCCATGCGTGGTAAGCTGTACCACTGTATGGATGTTGGGGTAGAGTGAGGGACGCCATGCCGTGTCAGGGGTGTAAGACATGCATCTTGACTGCGTCTTGACGTTTTGGACAACGGGTTAGGGTCATGGAGAGTAGAGTAGGGGTCTCCAGACGCGAGTAAGACCGGTAGGGAATGAGGAAGCGGGCGAGATGTATATATTCTGCTGCCTTTCGCCGTGGAGATAGATCATCATCCAGCAAGCTTCTACTTCTCTCATCAACTCATCACAGCCTTACCAACTACTTCTCTTCACTATTACTGCCGGCCAGTTCCTTTAATCCTCTACCAAATTCTCAAGCAACAATCGATCAGCCAAAATGCCTACTTCCCAGATCTCCACTCCCCTCAACGGTGTCGATGCCGCTGTCGTCATTGCCGCTCTCCACAACCACGACCTCATGATCAAGACCCTCTGCCCAGCGCTCGTCAGCTACGCTTTCGAGTCCGGCGACAAGACTACTTGCGCTACCTACACCGTCACCGACAAGAAGCCCATTGGCCAGGTACGACTTCCCCTTCCTCTCCGCCTTTCTTCTTCCTCGGTACAGCACTGACCCACCGCAGACAACCTACAAGCTCACCCTCACCAATGTCTCCGAGGGTGTCGACTCCCTCGTTAACGCCAAACCCCCCGTTGGTGTCCTCACCATCAGCGGCAAGTGGCGTGTGACTGGTGGCAAGCTCAGCGAGGAGATTGACATTGACGCCAACTTCATGATGAAGAAGGTGGCTAAGAACAATGTTGAGAAGACCCACCCGGAGCAGCACATGAAGCTCTTGGAAGCTGCTCAGGCTTAGACGAGTGGTATAGTTAGATAATGGCGATGGATGAGGAAGGGATGCATTGGATGGAGCAATTGTTTTGTGTTTGGATTTTGTGTGAGCATTTCATTTGCGACGGGTGGGATGAGGGTGTACGCATAGCTTGGTGTTCATGTTTGCAATGAAGCATTTTATTGTTATCTATACTACGACTACTGCAAACGTGATGAATACAGACTATGTACTTTGAAAAGATATTTTTGTAGAGCTCGGCTGGATATTCTAGAGCTAAAGATATTATCTACTAGTTTTCTAGAGGCTTTCTAGCTAATATCTGCTAAGGCACAGCCCATCACACAATGCCCATAATCACACTGGTCAGGCCAGATGCTGCAACCACCACACAAGTTCCAGACCGAATTACAGAGCTCGTGATTGTGAGGGCGCCCACCGCGACAGTGAAAGGTAGCCACAGAACACCAACTTTGCATGCTCCCTTTCACGTTCGCCCAATTGTATCCAGGCGTCGCTGTGGCAACAGCTTGGACTTGCACAGTTTGAGTGGCAGTCTGCGTTACGTGTTCCATGATCTGCACCACCTGTGTGGTCTGCACAACCTGCGTAGTCTGCACAACCTGAGTGACAGTCGTTTGCACGTACTGAGGGATCTGGACATACTTTGCCACAGTCTGCGTGGTAGTGGTTGCAAAGTACTGAGGGACCTGGACATACGAAGGTACCGTCTGTATCTGCGTAATCACTGCAGTCGCGTGTCGTGTAAACGTCGTGTACGTGGGAATGACCTGGTACGAGGTGCACGAGCCCAGGGTCGGAGTAGCCAAGTTTCGATTCGGCGTCTGGGTTGGAGCAGGCGAAAGTGTAGTCGTAATAGTCACCGTGGCTTGAGCACAGTGTGATTCGCCGTTGCCGCCGTGAGTTGATCCGGGAGCAGTATGGTGGCCGCTACTGTGGCCGCTACCATGACCTCCATGGTGGAATAGAGCGTCGAAAGGGTTCGGAAGACTATGAAGGGGGTTTGGGATATGGTCCAGAATATTTCTGGCGGCACCAGTAGCATCCTTGATCAGTCTGTTTGCCGTGCCCGGAATGATGGAGTCGACACCTTGCATAGCTGACTCAACCGACTGGGACACTGTATCCAAAGCAGGGGAAACGCGGTTCGCGCCTTCTTTGATCTTCCCGCCTAGAGTTTTGGCAAACTCCATGGTATTCCTGTAATGGTTGGTGAACTTAGCCATCATTCCTATGGGATCGGCAGCAGGGTCGAACGGCAACAGCGCAATGCCGTCTACACCTGCGACTGGTAGATTGGCGAGCGTGTTGTGGCTTAGTTGAACGAGGTTGCTGATTGCTGGCTTGTTCAATAGTTTGGCTCCTACAGCTTCGGCCAGCTCTGCGGTGTTGGTTGCGAGTTCGCGATTGAGGTATTCGAAAGCTGTGGCCAGACTGCCGGTACTGTCGACCAAGCGAATCGTCTCTTCCATTTGACTTGCAAACTGTACTGCCCGCGCGGTCTCGACCCCCATGTCTTCTAGTTGGCTCACCAAAACTTCTTTGAGACCGCGATTCAGTGAGTTAGCGACCCGACCCGCAACTCCAGCTTCAGCCTCCTTTATGACGTCTTCAACATCGGGGAGAAATTTGTCGCAGATACTCTTAGCCAGAGCAGTTCCAAGACTGTTGGTAACGACGCTACCAATAAACGCACCAGGAACAATGCCTTGCTCCATCTCTGGAGCCGATGTGCCATTTCCATCGGTGCCGTTACCTTGTGGGTAAAGTGTTTTGCCGGCCTCTTGACCAACAACGGCGCCAGCCATGCCCCCTGCTCCATTTATGATAGCGTTGCAAAGACCCCCAGTGACGCCGTTGTCTGCGATGCCGGTCGCAGCAGGAATCAGCAGGGAGCTGATGAAGGCAGCGGCGACAAGGCCATTCTCCTTGTCGGTACGATCTTCGCGAGAAGAAACCGTGAGGTTTGAAGATGGCGCGGCCTCGGCAAGAAGACTGTGGGAGGTAATCCAGATCGCGGGTAGGTTACCTAAAGACCCGTCGAGGAGGGCGTTGAAGTCGATTTGGAGATCTGGCTCGATGGGTTGTCGTGCCGTTAAGTGGAAAGCCGGTGCTATGGGTACACCTGCGGTTAAGCCGGTGAGACAGAACGTTGCCCATGCAGCGCGGTAAATGCTCTGGATCAGATGCATTTTGGAAAACCGAAGGTCTCTGTCGAATTGGGTCCGTTATTGTCTGTAAGTCAGATTCGGTCTTTACTGGTGATGTTAAAAGTGTATCGAAATCTGAATGTAGACACAAGCTTGGAATAGAAAACGCTTGAGGGAATTGCATATGCTTTTATAATAAGTACAGTCCAAGCGCAGTGGAGCTATGCAATTCGTGTGCCAAATCTCGCAATGCTGTACCGTAGTTGCCATGTCCTAGTCATCGCTCCCGCCCTTAATGAACTAATGAACCTTTTTCATGATTACCATAGTTCGGTGATGACGCAGATCGCATGAGGAATCGCCATGAAGTTGGAGTGGTCGTGAACGAGGACGGTAGTGGTGGATCTCGACACGAAACCATGGTTGAGGCTAGCGAATGCCAAAGTCGCGAGCCTACCCCCGCTTGCACCAATGAACATGCTCTTCACACGACCCTGAACTATGGTCATTGAAATGCTCGGTTCAGTCTCACTGTTGTTAGAGCCTTCATCATCTTCTTGTAATACTTGAGTCATGCTGAATTCAGGTTGACTACGGGTTGCGAGGCTCTCCCACAGTCGAAGATAAATCCACCCTAATCATCGTTGAACCTGCCAGGTAGTCGCCACATCCAGTCGCAGTCACCCTGCCCTGAATATTGGTGTATAAAGTCAGTGTATATCTTCACACGCAGTTCGCACAGAGACACTCACAGCCAGTGTACCAGTCCAGAACCTCTGTGTAGTCACTTGTCGCTCGGCACTCTGCCAAAGATATGGGAAGGGATTCGCTGCGCGTGCTTTCATCATCACGGATCTTGCGTGTTCGGCGGAAGCAACGCGCGGGCGGCATCTCTTTTCCGCGATTTCTGACCTGTAATTCTTTTCTGTTCGTGACCTGGTCTTCCATGCCCAGTACGAGCGTGTCCAGGGATGGACAGCTAGATTGGTTTTCTAGATGCGCAAAGAAATCTTTTGCAAATAGATGAGCTTGGCGCTCGATGTCTCCATAAACATCGTCACTCTCCTCTCCGAAATTGCAGCAGTCGTGACCCCACCTTTCCCGAAGTTGAAGGGTGCGTAGCTTGGTCAATTTGCAGATGGGTGACTGTGTAAATGTTAGAGATGGAACGTGAAATCAGATACTGTACAGTCTTACCAAGTCTGGATCGAACCCGCCTTTGTAATTCAACATTATACCTGAGCGAAGATTGAACGCGAGTTGTTCCAAGTTTGGACATGCTAGAGATATCTCTTCCCAAAATGGTGGTTCGCTGTCATCTAAGCGCCCTCTAGTGTCCCACATGTGTATCGAGAGAACAACAAGCTGTTGTCCAACAATCGCCAGAATTTGTTGGAAGGACTCCAACGTAAAGTCTATCCACCCCCTATCACTCCACTGCAAACACAGACTTTTCAATTCAGGACAGCGGCTAATCAACTCTTCGACGGCGTCATCGTCCTCTTCGTAGGGAGTATCATCATCCGGGTCTTCCACCTCGTCGTCGTCGACTAGCTCCAGTCCTAGATGTTTCAACGATAAGTCCTGGTCGCCGAGCTCATGTACCAAATTGGAGATGAACCTTTGGCTACAGGAACATGCCCAAAGAGTCAAATGTGTGAGCTGAGGAAACGATATAATCTTGCTGAGCCCATATGTATCGATGCCGAGAGGGATTCCGGAGATTGAAAGTTGGCGAAGCTTCTCTAGGCGCCCATACGATTCGTCTAGAGACGAAAAGGCTTCGGCGAGTCTTCGGCTAATATCGTGTGAATACCTATCAAACTTGGTTCCAAGGTACAGTCTCTCCAGATCCTTATACTTGCCGATGTCCTCCAGGGAGTCCAGAAAGTTCTCTTCCTCCAATTCCGACCAGGTTTCTTTTGGATGGGGGAGCCAGAGGTCCGCAGTTCGCACACAGTCGAGGTATTGTAATTGAAATAGGTCCTCGAGTCTTAGGTGTACGTGTGTTAATGTGCCCATTTGTTTAAGGAAAAATTCGCGTGCTATATTCGAAGGCAACGGTAGGGCCGAGAGGAACCTATCACAATTCAGTAACGTTCTGACATGACAGTCCGCGAGGTTATGACGAGAGCATGCCACAGGCTGGCATGTGCAGCATTCCGAAGACCGAGGACGCACCGGAAAGATTGTAGGCAGTCCCGAGGGAAATAGTCTAGTATCGCTTCTATCGCGCTACTTTGAGCAGATGTCAACCTGTCTTCACGGTCGAAGCGTCGATGCGGCTTGGTCTGGAACTCGGGAGCTTCTGCCGGGGGAAGGCTGTCCATCAACGTCAAGCTCCTTGTAGCGTCAAGATGCGCTTGGGCACCTTCGGCCATGCAGTTCTCGAACCGTGCGACTTCCGATGGATCGAGTACGTTGATGGTGACCTTCCGATACAGTCGAGGCCTGGCGAGGTCGCATAGCGCTTTCGACGTCAGACATAGGGCCTGGAGGTGCGAAGGCAAGTGGATCTGCTGGACTTAGCACATCGGCCGATGGGAGGTGTCTTAGGGTCTCCGCGCATACATAATCCAATATCAGAAGATGTACATCTGCCGGCAGCACCGGGAGGGTCGACATGGTCGCGTGCATTTGTTGAGCAGGTCGAGCGGAGGAACGACGCGTGGGCGCGTCCAACGCCGCGGGCGGGGCGGCGCGTGCTAGACTCTTGGCACTCAGGTACCCCCTGAGAACGGCTTGTAGGTTGCCGGCTTACCCAGGTACTTCCGCCCGAACCACAACATCCACCTTTTCACATACCGCCCATTACATTTATTATGCCGTCGCATTTGATGCACTCCCAGATTTCGTACAAGACATTGCAGCTTGATTCTTAGGAGCTAAGCTATGTACAATATTGCTCGGTGTTGAGAGTCATCAGGATCAGCCACGCATGTGACACGGCCCACGACACTACGCTGTCTTTTCTACCCAGGGCAATTTACTCCTCGGAGAGAACGTCCTTCTTCTCCTTCGGGGGCCTCATTCCACAGTACAAGCAAGTATCGGGGTATCCTGTCCATGGGCTTCCCTTGACCGGTACACCACCATCTGCCGTCCACATATTTACGGGTTGAGGATTCTGTCTCGCGCGGGGATTGACGCCGACATCGATGGTAGCGTAGAGCCCATCTTCGATAGTCTTGCCAATGAGCGAAATCTTCATCACTGGGTCGTCGCCACCCTGCTTCGCCATGTTGAAGAGCGCATCAACTGCGTTGGTGGTGATGGCTTGCTTGTTCGTGTTGTAAGGAGAAGTCTTCTCAACTTGGCCTAGGAAGTTCTGCTCGATATAAAACTGACCGACGTGCGAGATCGTGCCACCTTGAATGGTATTGTTGGGAAGGAGTTTAGCACCATGGTGGATGATGGCTAGGGTTGTCAGTAAGGCGTTGGTAAAAGACAGGAGTGAAGCGTACTGTGGAGATGGTTCGTGCGGCCGACGTAGTGTCCTGGGATAACGGTAATGAAGGTAGCGGTACCATTGGCGCTGGTGGGTTGCACGCCGCGAAGAGCATTGGTCGCAATAGCGGTAGCAGAGCCGTCGCCATTGCCCTTCGCCTGAACACCCGTGTAGACACCAGTGGCGTTACTTCCCCACATCTCAACGTAGGCATCGGTGACAGGCTTGCAAGATGAAGTGTCGATAATGTTGACGTCCAAGTGGGTGATGGCACCCTTCTCTCCGGTCAAAAGGTCCTGGCGAACGAGCTCACCGGTGACCCCTATCAGTTTGTAAGCCAACCTGTCTCAAGAGATGCAACCTTCTCCACTTACAGTATGGACCCTCAGTGGATTCAGGGTCAAGCGTGCATGCTGCCTCGGCACCGTAGCTTTCCTCGACTTCAGCGACGTCACGACGGACGAGCTCGTGTTCCTTCGCGAAACCAGCTGCAACCCGAAGCTCGTGGAGCCTTGCCTCACGCCTCTGATGCTGCTCCCGGACCCACCCGGTCTCGACGAGATCCCTTTTACACGCCTGAACACTTCGACGGTTGGGATGATCCAAATGAGCCTGCCTCCTCAAGATCTCCTTGTTGGTGTTGCCACCAGGATGCGCGACAACACCGGTAGCCAAGAGAATGGCAGCGAGGGCTTGTGTGAGCTGAACCATGATGTCTGCAAATGCTCTGTGGACGTGAGGAGGCTCAAGGTGATCTCAAGATGCCATGTAGTCGGCCTTCTTATACTTTCCGGTTGCTGCGCCTTGGTGCGGTATTCCTGCAGGTGCTAATGACATCGTTCTGGATCTACACATCTGTGCTGTCGCTGTTCTCGTCACCGCGCAGTCTAAACTGCGTTCCCTGTTGTGTGCTACTCTCCACAGATTGTCTAGGATGAGGTCCATAATCAACATGGCTGTGATAGGCAGCGGCAATTGCTCGCTTCGGTACACGCGCCGCAGCTAGATTAGCGTTCATCTAGTGCCCGATCTTGGCGGCGGAGTGCATGCGGCATGGTAGTCTTGGTACGACTCTCCAGGACGACGTGTGGCTAATGTCGACCAGTCGTATATTAACCGGAAGTGCTGCGCGTGGTGATCGGTAGTTGAATGCGGTGTGATGCGTCCGCGTCATGATGCGAATCTGGATCTATACGTCTAAAAATGCACAAGCGAGCATCCCCAAGCTTGTATAGGTAAATACCTTCTGGTTCGAGGTTGGTGGGATGCTATTTGACGCTGCATCTGAAGACAGATACAAACTCGTTGAATCTACTTAGCCAGTCTCGGTTAAGCGAGGGGAGGGCGGTTGGATTTTACTGGGGCTTACACATGTATAGTCGGGCGGCCAAGACACCATCTGGATATACTTTTGCATTGATGAAAACCGGCAGGCTCGTAAGGTGGAGCAAATGGCATGACCCGTATTTCTCAGCACCAACAATGTCTTCGAACGGGTCGGGCCTATGGAGCCGAGTGTGCGTGTCTCATGTGCCTGGATGGATGCAGATCCTGGCAGCTGCCATATGTGACATGGGACTGGAGATGTCACGTAGCTGGGAGCAGCGCTCTGTACATGGCTCGATCTTCTACCCACGTTCACCGCGGAATGATTTCCACTTGTCGTAAAGCCGGTGACATGCTTCTTACCGGGCTCTAGCAGTCGAGACCGTGAGACCGACTCCTCTTACTCCTCGGAGCACTCGCTCAAGAACAGCCACTCGGTTCCGAGAGGTGGACTGTCCTTGCGGTATCTTCGGACGATACTCTCCCCCTCTTCGACGACATTCATTCATTCCTGAGCGCTCAAATTAGCACGTATATTGTCGAAGTTTCCGTAAGGTGATTATGGTGAGCAGACCGCGCATCGTCAGCACCCCCGTGATAGGCTATGGATATCCGGCAGCCCAAGCGGCGATATGCCACTAGCAGGAGCGTGGTTGAGGCGAGTACGCGTGGTTGAGGTAGCAGTATCGGGAGCCTTGATACGCAGGTTTAGAAGGTGAGTGGCTTTCGCATAATAGAGAGCTCGGAAGACACACGTGCCAGGGGCATTGCGGGGTGCGTAAGAGCTCATCATCAGTATTGCTGCCGCAGCCGGCATAAGGCAACCAAAGAAGACAATAACGCGACTATGCTCTGCAAGAGATATTAGCAGTACAGGAACTTCCTTGCTAGGTCCTCTATCTGTGCGTAAAGCCGCTCTTGCGCGCCGGCAGAAAGTGCCTAGGCATGGCTCACCCTGCGTGGGTTTCAAGGTGTCGCTGCAAGGAAGGAGCAGCCTGCGACTCCTGAACGGAAAACACAGACCTGCTGCTCTTGGAGTTGTAGCAGTAGGTATAGTAACGTGACATAAGCTTCGCGATTTTCTGGAGGCTGGAGCTTCGCAGTCCGGAATGTTCTCCATGAGCTAAGAACTGCGCTAGTCGCCATCCAGGTCTGTGCAAGCGACCTCGACAGCCTGGAGCCGTGCCTTCCGCACTCCTGGCCGAAACACGATCCTCGACAGCTGAAACCCACAACGCCAGGACAGCCCCGACACCAGCGTCTTGACGATGTTTGGTAGTCCTTTTCGTGTGCTCACCGTGACGCGATTAGCCCAGCGCCACACCTCCGTTGCACATTGAACGAATGGTAATGCTCATCAGCTCCGTGCCCCTGGCGGCACTCCTTATAGTATCAGCATCGCATGCCTGCGAAGTTAACCACAGTGGCGAAACGGGTTGGCGTCTGAGGGTGATGAAGAAACGACGAAACATTGCAATGCTTTTGCAAAATCAATATAGGCGTTCATGCTCGCTAGCACTAACTTTCTTTACTTGACCGTCGTCATTCCAGCTTTCTCACGCACGCATACAGCAAGATGGCGACTTTTCTCAATTCTCCATGTACACCTGCCAAACCCGCACATACCTTCTACCATGACGACAGCGCATCTCGAAGCCACAAGGCAAACCTGTCTGGCGCAACTATGCTGGACTTGTTGAGTGGCCCCGAAGGATCCATCGCCGCAGCCTATGAGTCCTCGAGCGTGCACCAGCGTTCTTCTAGGTCGAGGCGGCCATCCCAAACCTCGATCACCAAATCTCAATTACGCCAGACGAACCGCACTTTAATCGAAATCATCCACAATGTTCAAGCCGAGCTAGCGACACAGAGAGAGGCAATGCTCGACATGCAAACACGGATCCTTCAGCTTGAAAGTGCCTCGCAAATATACAACCAGGACCTTGGCCCGCGTCATACAATCGCCGGCCACCGCAAGCGGTCTCAAATCAGAAGCGCAGAGGGCGCTGCTCGCGAAACGCAGGGACGTTGGGACGCATACCAGAAAGATGTAGACATGCTTGGCCCTCCTCTTATCGCGAACGAGTTCTGGAAGTCACCTAGCCGTTTCTCTGGCTTCAACTTCAACTTCGATCTACTTGAGACGATACCGAAGTCTCTCCATCCCCCTCCTCCAGATGTGGATGATGTTCCGAGTCTTTCTCCAGATGAGCAGCCAGAAACATATACGCCGGGGCTTCGCCGGATTCCCGCCAGAATTACCCGGATCAAGACATCCGATCCCACTACGATGTACCATGATGCGGTGAGCGACATCAAAGAACACGTTGTAGAGTTCGACAAAATCAATGCCCCCATGCCTGTCAAGCTCCAGACACCGCCACGAAGTTCACGCAGCAAGTTGACATCGATGTACAGCCGGGATGATGAAATTACAGCATTACCCCGGATTCCCTTCCAGCCGGCACCAAGCACACATAACTCACATCGCAGCTTGATGGGTATCAAAAGCTTGCTATTGTACAGGACATCATCGAGGAGTCAGAAATCTGACTACCCTCCATCGGATCATCGACGTTCAGGCTCTTCTTTACGCTGTTGAGTACAGGTTGGCATCGCAGCGCAAGAGTGACGTTTGTATTGGTAGCAAGAGAAGCGAAGAGAAGGGAACTATGAATTAGAGTCGAAAGGGAATAGTTCGCGATAGACGTGTACGTGTTATGAGGAATCTATTACGCTGTGTTACCATCGCCGTTAGTCTGGACCACAGCTTCCAACAATTTCTTACAAGTTAAGTGCGCCATTCCGAAATATAATTCAGAGAAATGCATACAACATGTCACCCGAATGG